GCGCCTCGTGCCGCCTCCCCATGGCCGCAGTGAGATCACGCGGTCGCCGTGATCTCCACGCCCTACGGGCGGCGCCCTCCCACGGCCGCTGCTTCCCCTCGACGGCCCCGGGGCACGCGCAGCCGCCGCCGCCCTCGGCTTGCCCAGCCTCGGCTGGTCCAGGCCCGCGAGGAAGGGGAGGACGAGGAGGGGCCAAGGAGGGCGAGGATCGAGGCGTTTTGGGACCGACGAGGACAAGGAGGGGCCAAGGAGGGCGAGGATCGAGGCGTTTTGGGACCGGCGAGGACGAGGAGGGGCCAAGGAGGACGAGGATCGAGGCGTTTTGGGACCAGGGAGTAAAATTGGGACCAAGGAGGACGATGACGAGGATCGAGGAGGCTTGGGAGGTCGAGGAAGAAACGCCTTGAACACAAACTTTTGGCGCTCCGCGCGGATTTCTTGGATCCGCGCCTGGGCCCTCTCGAGCGGCGCCTCCGGCGCCGCCCCTGCCGCGCTCCGGTCTCCGCGCGGAGCGCCTACTGTTTAGGTTTCTGCAGTTTTTCCTCTTCTCGTCTGGATTGAGGGCCGAGGATCGAGGAGGATCCAGGATCGAGGAGGAGGAGGAGGATCGAGGAGGAGGAGGAGGAGGAGGAGGAGGACGAGGACGAGGATCGAGGAGGATGAGGAGGAGGAGGACGGCGGCGGAGGAGGAGGAGGAGGAGGAGGAGGAGGAGGAATGCAGAGGACTCTGGGCAACGGGCGGCGCCGTGGTCCGGCGCCGCCCGTTTTCCAGCGTCCACTGGGGATCGGGGACTGAGGACCGAGGAGGCTTAGGATCGAGGAGTTTCGACACGTCCTCCTCCTCCTCCTCCGCCTCCTCCTCCTCCTCCTCCTCTTCCTCCTCCTCCTCCTCCTCCTCCTCCACGGGGGTCCTTTTCCTCCAAGTGGTGTCGACCCCACTTTGGTGCTCGGCATGGTGTTGCGGGAAGGGGGAGGAGGCTGGTCAAGGCGCTGAGATGAGGACCACTTTGTCTGGGCGCAGGAAGCGCTCGGGTTGCGGGGCCGTGCCTTCGATTTACGCCTCGGAATCTGTTCGTGGCCTGGGCGCCCAGGCCCGCCGTGGCCAGAAAAGCTAATTCGGTTCCTTAGCAGCTAGGCGCTCCTCGTGGCAGCACGAGGACTGCAGGAGGGGAGGGAGAGGCAAAAGGGCGAGACGGCCAGAGGGGGTCTTCGCAGGATCCTTCAGGATCCGGTGCCCTGGCTGACCCCCGTTTGCATTGAACCCCGTCTCGAGGCTCCCGACACGAACTGGGACCGGCAACAGGGCGAGATGGCACCATGGGGTTGAGCTTGCAGGCCAACGGCATCGGAAAAAGACCGTCTCGTTCTGCGCCCGTTTCCCCGCGTACAGTCGGGGGGGGCGTTGAAGAAGGAACCACCCTTTCGTTGGGGAGGGGCTCTGTGTTCCTTGATTCTTTCACAGTTCGCCTCAGGTTGTCCGAAGGTTTTCCATGGGAGATCGAAGCTTAACTTATGGGAAAAAGGGGCCTCGTTCCTTGTTTAGGGTTCCTTAGGTCAACGCCCCGACTGTACCGCGACTGGGAGACGGGGCGCCCACCGACACCTCCACAGGGAGGGCGCGCGCCGCGGGGTCTCTTCCGAGGGGTCCCCATTTTTGAGGCGTGCGCCCCGCGAAGTCAGCAGAGCCGACAGAGCCCGTCCCAGTTCGTGTCGGGAGCCTCGAGACGGGGGTCAGTGCAAACGGGGGTCAGCCAGGGCACCAGATCCGCAGGATCCTGCGAAGACCCCTTCTGGCCGACACTGGCTGACCCGGGTTTGCGAAGACCTGCGTTGCAGTTTTTTTTTTGTTTTCCTGCATCGCAGTTTTTTGGCTTCCTGCTGACCCAGGTCTGGATTGACCCGGGTCAGAAGATCCCCGATCGTGCTCCCAGAACGAGGGGGGGGATTTCACGTGAACGAGGGGGGGGAGGGCGAGGGGGAAAGGGGATGGGGGGGCAGATTTCACGTGCGGCCTTGCCTGGCAGAGTTCCGTTGCTGTGCACAGGGCCGCAGAGCGACGACACCAACGCCGCAGAGAGGCTTTCACCTCAGCGCGAGCAGAGGCAGCGAGGAGGCAGGCCGTTCATTCGCCGTCTTGCTCATCGCCGCCTCCACGCGTTTTTCCAGTGCACGGCGGGAGCTGCTGAGACACTTCTTTGGAGGGGTCCAGGGGTGAGGGTTTGACGAGAAGGAGGGGTTTCCAGGGGATGTTCCAGGGGAAGTCGCTGTGATACCCCCCCCACTGCTTGCCCTCTGGGCCAACCCGTTGTACATTTTTAGCCTGCTCGGGTGGCGAAGGCCCCGAGCAGTAGCTGCACCGAGCCACTGCTTGTGCAAGATCCCAGCTGATGGTGGCACAGCGTGCTTAATCCATGCATTCCCCCTCCTCCTTGCCTTTATCTCATTTCCCATTTTGCCACTGCTTTTCCGCAGCAGAGACACCTGCCCTGCTCGTCTCCACTGCTGGAGTCGGCTGGACCTGCTGGGCAGGATGATGTTCGGGCGAGGTCTGAGGCCGGAGGAGGAAGGGGGGGGGGACAGGGTCGTCAGGTTTGAGTGCATGTCGCTCTGCAGGGCAGCATGAGGAAAGATACATTGAGAGCCCATGGATGCAACATCATACCAGGAAGCTGGGTATACATGGCGCGGCAGGCCTGGGCGAGAGCTGGATAAGTGTGTGTGGCCAGATGTCTTTCTAGCGCTCGGCCCTTCTATAGCCGTGTACGAATGGCCTCCGCATGTGTAACCATCGCGTGGCCTCTGGATGGTCCGCACGTCAATCCAGCCACGTGTGTGTTCCCAGTTTCCCGGTACACAGTTCTTTGCGTACAGTCAAGGCGCTGAAATAAGGACCTCGTTGGGGTCAGGAGAGGTTCGGATTTTCGCGCGCGCGCCAGGCGCCCTAGAGCGTCGCCGCGAGCGCGTGGTCTACTCGTGTCCTAACCCGCCGCCCCGCCCGCGAAACTTGTTATGTTTGAAAAATCGTGTCGCTCCCATTTTTTTAAATCGCGTGCCCACCTTCTGTCGTGGAGCCCGTGCGTGTGTGTGTGTGTGTGTGTGTGTGTGTGTGTGTGTGTGTGTGTGTGTGGGTGTGGGTGTGGGTGTGGGTGTGGGTGTGGGTGTGGGTGGGTTGGGGGGGGGCCTAGGCCCGACTAGGCCCGACGTGGCCAGAAGAGCACCGTCGTTCGTTTCTGGCTGCGCTCTTCATGGCAGCACGATGGCTGTACTCGATGGCTTTGCCCGTGCCCCCTGACATTCGATCCCGATGTTAAGTGGCGATGTGCCTTGTGCCTGCGGCCGGCTGCCCCCTGCCCACGAGCGCCATGATCTGCGTTGGAGTACGGTGTGGGCGGCCGCGAAGGAAAGCACCCTCGAGGCTTCAGACCCAGGGTGCTTCCTCATCTGATGAGGACGGCGGTGATATCCATGGCCACTCCATGTCCGATGTCCGTTCATGGGAGCCTTGGGCGGCGACGCTGAAATCAGCCTGTCCTGCATTTGTGTCGCTTTCGGCCTTTCCTCCTGTTCCTCCTCGCCCTTGCTGCTCCCTCTCCCCCTCCTCGTTCTTCTCGTCTCCCGCGTGAACGCGCGAGTCCGGTCCAGATCCAGTCCGAATCCAGTTCGTCCAAATTGCGATCCAAAGCAAATCCAAATCAGGCCCACATCGGACAGCGCCAGGGGCCGCGTAGGCTCCCGTGGAACGGACACCAAGTCTACGATTGGAGTTCCACTGACTTTCAGACCTTGGATCCTTTATCCAATGGTTCCCTATCCACTGCCCTCGCCGCTCTCTTGAACGCCTCCGAGGGTGGTGAAACCTGAGAAGAGTAGGAGACGAGGCAGGCGCAGCGTGGCGCGGCTGCCTTTCCCCCTCACCCTACACTCGGCGGCGAGCCTGGGGGGAACTACTAAGACAAGGCGGGTCCTCTCGGAGGGCTCGGAAGCCCCCAGCCTCCTGAGACAGTTTCTGAGCGTTCCCCGAGGACACAGAAACTCTCAGAAGGCCGGAGGTCTTCTGAGAAGCCCCACCGCCTTCTGAGAAAACCTTCTCCTTCTCACTTCGCCCCTTCGCTCGCCGCCGATACTCGCGCTTGACCGGGGGGAGGACGCTACAGTCAGTTCGTTGAAATAAGGTCCACTTCGAGGTCGGAAGGGGTTCGGTGGTTCCATCGGTTCGCATGCGCTCTGCTGCTTTTCTGGGTGCTCCTTAGGATTGTACGGCCGTTCGCTCGGATTCTACGGCTCGACCTAGAAGGGAAGGAGTTTCGTTCCTGGTTTATTGCTCCGTTTTCCAGCGGCCCGGCTGTATCACGGGTGCGGCGGCGCGCCTTGCTGGCTGTCCCGTCGGTTGTCCCCTGACTCGGCCTGCCGTTGTCTTCGGCCCCGTGTGTCGTCGTACCTCCCGAGGCGTAACGGTCGGTTGCCTGCGGGAGCCAATTTGCCTACCCCCTGGCGAGAAACGGCGTAACAGTGGGGGGAGGGGGGGATGGGACCAGTCACGTCGCGAGTCGCGCCTGTGCCGCCTGGGACTACTCAGAAATGGCTCCTTCGCAGACGGCGCCGCCGCGAATCGTGGCGTGACCCAGGGGATGGGGGGGAGGGGGGGCGGGCTGGGCCAGTCACGGGCTTTCTCGCGAACAACTACCCGAGACGTGCCCAACCCATTCTGCACGTGAGGCGGCTATCGTTGCAAACGCTCTTCATACAAAAGAGCACGTTGCGAGAAATTAGGCACGCAACGCTTGGGGAGGCGATGCGATGTCGGGCCCCGTACGTCGCACACGTGCGCAACATGAACGGGGGACAAAAGTGGAGGAGGAGGAGGAGGAGGAGGAGGAGGAGGAGGAGGAGCAAGAGGAGCAAGAGGAGGAAGAGGGGGAAGAGGCCAAGGAGGCTTGTGAGGGAAGAGGGAGAAACGCTGATTGGAGTAACGGAGCCATGCGCTACATCTGCTCGGTTGGCCCGCGATGCCGCTGCAGGTGACGGGCGCCTGAGGAGGGGGGGGAGCGGGCCACTGAAGACAGCGCCATGCGCCACGTGGCGCTCCAGCGCCCAGCGCTCTGCGATGCAACAGCGCCGCGCACTGACTGACGGCACGGCGCGAACCGCCAGGTGGGCGCGCGCCTTGTCACATTCGACCAGCCCTTGCCTGCTGCGAACAGCTCCGACGGCGCCGGCAAACTGGCAGCCACTGCGCGCGCTCGCCGAGACCTCACCTGCCGCTTGTGTCCCTTCGGTCGTGCTTCGCAGACTTCTCCTCGGCAATTCCCGCGCGGGCATCGAGAGTTTGTTGGTGGTCTCCAAACCAGGTGGTGAGACACCCGGTGGTGACCCCGATTCCCCCAACAAATAATTCTGGGTCACCACCGGGTTTGGGGACACGCGGTCGCCACGAGGTTTTGCGTTTCCTGGGCCAGCCAGCGCTCGAAAACCATTACCCAAATCGCCCAAAACTCACCACCGGGTGTTCTCACCACCACGCTAGGGGACCACCAAGTTTGGAGGCGCGCGGCCAGGTCCGCCAGCGGCGCCCGGGACAGGAGCCGGCGACATGGGCGGCGGGCTGCGCACTGCGCAGCCGCCCGGGGTGCCGCAGGGTCCTGGCTGGGTCTGCGCGCCCCCCCCCCCCGCTGGATCATCCAGGGTTCCACGAAAGCGGCGACACTCAGGAGGGAAAAACACACAGACACAATGAATCCTCGATTCCCGAGGAAAGATGGGAAACTATGGGAAGACAACAACCTAGAGAATATTGGAAAAGATGGGCCTGTTATTTGTGTCATGTATTTGTGTGTCCCAGGGCCCCTTCAGACACTTGGACACACCGTAGCCACCCAGGGGGCCGCGAGGTCCAGGCTGGACCTGCGTGCGCTTTCATTCTGACGACCCTCCTGGGAGCCCACCAAAGCGGGGTACACTCGCGCAGTTAGCAACCACCCGGGGGGCTTCGGGGTCCCGGCTGTATCCACGTGGCCCCCCAGTCTGCTCGATTCGCATGACCTCCTAGTCCGCTGGACCTCCCGCGATCCCACGAGAGTGGCGACATGTGCGCATTTCGGAGCCACCCATGGAACTGCGAGGACCCGGCTGGGTCTGAGTGGTCCCCCAGTCCGTTGGACCTCCCAGGTACTTACGACAGGCGCGCAGTTTGCAGCTCCCCATGGAGCAGCGCAGGAGGAGGCACGAGGAAGGGGGAGGAGGACAGGAGGGGAGTGGAGACCGCAGTGCTCTTTTCACAACGAGGTTCCAACCCAAGAAGGGTGGAAATAACAATTTGGCTTCAGGGACGGTCCTTTCAGGCTGTAGCCGCTGTGCCCAGCCCGTGTCGTGGAAGTCGGAGTTATCGTTGCCCCTTTGGGGGTCTTTGGTCCAGAAGGTGAAGTGGTCGATGTAGTCGCGATTGAAACGGAACCACAAGAGTGTGGGACGTGCGAGGCTATGTAACACGTGGAGGTCGATTGACAACCCATCTTTTCCCTTGACCCCGTCGTCTTCGTAGTCCGAGTTTGTTTTTGCCGTTTTGGGGGTTTCAGCGACATGGGGTGGAAGGAGTGGGCGGCGTGAAATGCAGGAGGGAGCGACGGTAAGATGGAGAGGGAGGTCCATGCCACCGCATGCATGGTATACACGCAGACATGGGCACAGACGGGGAACCAGGCACGGGAATGATAATACAGTCAACCCGCATAGTAAGGATGAGCAATTTTCAAGGTTACCGTTGCATCCTTTCATTTCGGCATATCTTTGGCCGCTTTCGCTGGCCGCGCCCTGCTCGCAAAGTGTCGGCATGGCCTTCCAAAGGCCCTTGCATCCTTATCGTGCGCCCTTATTATGCGGGTTGGTTGTACCTCGGCCTCATCATCCCTGCTGAGCTTGTTTCACCCGATGGCGAAGAGCTACGTTGTTAGGCGGACGGCGGCAGTTGACTGCCAGTCCTACTGATTCGCAAGATGTCTGCCGATTGCCAATTGCCATTTGAACATCGGTGTAGTCTCTCTGCTTCCATAGCCGAGCAGTGTTTTTTACTCACGCCGCACTTCTGCCGCGCGCTGCGCACCAGGACTTTTTCGGTGTTGAAGGGACCGTCACTTCGCCAGTTCACTCGCCCTCACCTTCTCCCAAACCCTCGCCCTGCTCCTGCTCCTGTTACCGCGTTTCGGTGTTCGCCTTCTCCCTGGTCTCGTCCTCGTCCCTTGTCTTTGGCTGTGGTTACGAAGAGCGGCAGGGACAAGAAATTATGCGGCTCCTGAAGGGCCGATCCCCTCAGCGGCCCCATGGCCAACGGCCTCTGTAGATGAAGGCCCCTCTGCTTCCGAGGAGGCTCGAGCACCCATCGCAGACCGGCCCCTGTTTCGATGACCTGCGGGGAAGCGATGCCTTCTGGATGGAGACGGAGTGTAATCATGATGAGGAGGTGGCGACGGAGGAGGAGGAGGAGGAGGAGGAGGAGGAGGAGGAGGAGAAGAAGGAGACGGAGGAGGAGGGTCCACACTCCTTGTCATGTTCTTCGTCGTCCTTGTCGTCCCCTAATCCCTCCCCCCGTTTCTTCCCGTCTTCTCCATCCTCTTCCTTCCTGCTCCTCCTCATCCTCCTGCACCCGGGTCTGCCAACACATGAGGGCACATGTTATGTACAACGCACGTCGGAAAGCCGCGATAAACATCTGAACGCTGCCAAAGCACCAGGAAACCGCCGAAGGCTTCCAAAGAACATGCAACCATTCCAACGCTTCAGAGAAACCATCCCGCTCCCTCCGTCCTCCCGCTCCTGCACCTGCTCCTCTGCCTCCTCCTTCTCCGCCTCGCCCTCCCACCCACGGGGAACACTTCGCCTCCACCATCTCATTCCTCCTCCTCCTCCCCCTCCTCTTCCTCCTCCTCCCCCTCCTCCACCTCCTCTTGATCCTTTCCTCATCCGTCTTCTTCTTTCTCCCCCCCTTCCCTTCCTTCGTAGCCATTTTGGCTCAAGGCTTTGAGTTCCCCAGGGAAACAAGTGGGTACCGCTAGTCCGCGGCTAGTCCCAAAGTTATTCCATCGCACCGTTGTGTGAGCTGCCAGGCGACGCAGGTTGTGTGAGCTTCTGCAGGAGCAGTCCGCTCACGCCCATCTGAACGAGCCATATGGTAAAGCAGGCGGGCTATGTCAAGTGTACGGCATGCTCGTGCACGTGGAAGTGGAATGGCCGCGAGAGTTGTGTCAGCTGTGGTAAAGCGTTGGAGTTGTCGCCAACGCCGCCGTGGCACAAGAAGCCGAACAAAGGGTCTGGGCGACTCGGATCCAGCAAGCAGCCGCAAGTGAGAACGCTGACGGGTGGAAGGAGTGGCCGTCTTGGCCCATGTCCCCGCCATCGCAAAAACGAGGGGGGGGGGCAGCGGGGTCGCACACTGACACGCAGGAAGTTCCCACAGCCACAGCTGAGCAGCAGGGCTCAAGCAGCAGTTGCCGCCGCCCGCCCCAGTCATCCAGCGGGACCTTAGCCAACCGTACCAGCACCAGTGCACCTTGGAGCGGAAGGTTAAGCTGGCCCTGGAGATGGTCATGGAGTCCGACGCGAAGGCGCATGATTGATATTCTGAGCGCAAGCAGGTTGCTCTCGAGGCGGCGCGGGAAACTGTTCGCGCACAGCGTGCGGCAGAGGAGGCACTCTGGCCTTGCAGAGTGCTCGTGGTCAGCCCCCTCAGCAGCATGCCCAGCCGCAGGAACAGACGAAACCAGTTGCCGCATTCAACCTCACGGCGCTCCTGCAGAGTGACGACGTCCAGTTCGAGGCAGGGCCCGCTTTCGAGCTGGAGGGTCCCAGAATGGACGGGTCCGAGAAGGAGGCGCTGGCGGCAAAGCAGGCCAAACTCGCGAAGGAACTCAAGGCGAAGGTCGGCGAGCTGTTCGGTGCGACGGCCAGCAACTCGGGCCAGCGCCGCCGCGATGCTGCAGAGATGCAGGCGCGGCTTCAGGCCAAGCGGCAGCGGCGCCAAGAGCCCAAAGGGGGAGCCAGAGGGTAACGGCACAGCAGCAGGCACAGGAGCAGGTGAAGCAGCCCCCGCGTCGTCCTCGGCAGCGACGAGCGCGTCGACGGCGGCAGGTCCCAGCGGCCCAGTGGCGGCTGCTCCGCCTACTCCGCGGGCTGATGGCGCCGCTGCTGCCATTGCTGCGCCTTGCGGGGATGATGCAGACCTGGGAGATCAGGCCAAGCAGATGCTCGAAACCACTAAGAGGGCCCAAGGGCAGCCCTTGTAGTACCATGGGAGAATATTATACTGAGGTTTCCTGTCCATCGGTCTCCTCGGGCTCGGCACTCACCGCGTGGACAGAGCGAGCGGCTTCGGGCACCCCTGGGGCCCTCGGGGCAGAGCTAGCCACGCGTCGTCGGGCCCAGGCTTCACCCTCGGGGCAGAGCGAGCGGCTTCGGGCCCCGCGCTCACCCCATGGGCAGAGATAGCCACACGCGATGTGGGCTCGGCGAGGACATGCAGCGGGGCCCACCATCGGATGCAGGAGGCCGCGGGCGCGCGGGTGGTCGATGCCCTCCTCCCCGACGAGCGCGTCGCTCAGCCCCCTGGCGAGCTGGGGCTTGAGAGCGACAACGGGGGCTCCGCTCCACGTGGAGGTCGCATGTGCTGCGAACTCGGCGAGAACGTGCAGCGGGGCCCATCATCGGATGCAGGAGGCCGCGGGCGCGCGGGTGGTCGATGCCCTCCAACCCGATGAGCGCGTCGCTCAGCTCGCTGACGAGCTGAGGCTTGAGAGCGGCGGCGAAGGCTCCGCTGCGCATGGAGGTCGAGCTCGCGCGCGCGATGCAGCGACGGCAGGGCGCGGGTCTCCACTAGCATCCACGGCGATTCCCCCAAATCCGACGGAATCGGCAACGGCGGCTTCGGCGCCCTCATCTCTCATGGCCACCTACGACGGGGAGAGGCGTCAGATCGCAAACCCCGCCGCCGTGCTCCACAAGCCGCTCGCGGGTTCAGCGTCGCCACGCGGTGAGAGACACTGCCAGGGCAACCGCGGAGGAGCGAGTCAGAGCGCAAATCCCGACGCGGTGCTCCTCGAGCCGCATTCGGGCTCAACGTCGCCATGCCGAATCGATCAGGAACGCGGAAAAAGGCAATGACAGTAATAAGAGCGCAAATCCCACCACGGTGCTCCTCGAGCAGCCGGGGGGTTTAACGTCGCCACAGGATGCTGGCGGGGGGCAGGTGGGCATGTCTTCTGCGGTGCCCGCGGGCCCTCCGAGTGCCGCGGGCCCTCGGGCCGCTGTCGGCGCGAGGATGGGAGATCGCGCCGTTCCCGGTGGGGCGGCGTGGACGGGTCCGCAGTCGATTGGGGGGGCGGCGCGTCGGTCTGGGCCAGGCGGGAGGCAGCTCTGCGAGCGCCCGAGAACCCCTCCCCCGAGCCAGGGGGCCCACGCGACCGCCCCAAGGCTGAGGATCAGATCGCAAGTCCCACCGCGGTGCTCCTCGAGCCGTCGGCGGGTTCAACGTTGCCACGTCATGAAGGGAATTGGAGCCAGATCAGCACCTTGACGATGCCCATGAAGGCGAGAGGCAAGCGGCCGCCCCCATGGGGGCCGAGGGCGGGGGGGAGGTGGCCACGCCCTCGTCTGAGGCGGCGTCGGTGCGAGGGCAGGTGGCCTCCCCGAACGAGCCCGTCGTCGTGGATGTGGCGCTGGGTCTACCTCGAGGGCAGGGGGGTCAGAAGCGAGTCTCGGCTCTGCATGGCAACGTCACCGAGCGGGGCGCGAATATCCACGAGTTCGCAGCAATCCCGCAGGAGTCCAACCTTTTCCAGTTCGCGGAAGCGCACCTCGATGCGGAGCGCACAGCCGAGGTCCAAGCCTCTGCGCGCAAGGATGGGTGGAAGTTGGTCGCTGCGCCTGCGCGAGCAAGTGGGCGATCAGAGACTGGGGCCTCGGCGGGGGAAGCTATTCCGGCGAGAATTCATGTTGCGACATCGCCATTTGAGCACATGGTTAGGTATCGTTCGGCCGCTGCGAGTCCCTTCTTTGGCTTCGCTGCAATGGTTTGGAATCTCAAGGCGGGCAATGTGGCGATGGTTTCCACTTGCCTCGCTCCCGAGCTCGGGTTGCAGACGGGGCACACTGACATGGCGAGAGGGCGTCGGTTTCCTCTGTGCGGGGCTTGGCAGACCCGCGTGTCATCATCGGGGATTGGAACTGCGCGCCTGGGCAGTTGGTGAAGGTCAACATCCACGAGTTTCTGCGAGGTGTGATGCTGTTTCCTCCCTTTGCTGCCGCGCGTGACGACGGTCGGGGATCCCTGATTGACTTCGCCATCGTCGGCGGGGGCCTGATGGAGCGAGTCACGCTCGCGCCAGCTGTGGCAGTCCCGTGGGGGGCCCACTGCGGCATCGCGATCGCCTTCGAGCAGGCCGAGCAGCCCGTGCGGCACCGCAAGCTGCAGATTCCGAGGGGCTGCCCCAGATGGACAGGCCCCAAAATCAGGCGGATCAAGCGAGGAAGATTTCGCTGCGCCGAGAGGAGGCCAGGCTTGCTCGCCGCGGTCGGCTGGCCCTAGAGTTGCGCGAGGCTTTCGACCCGGCGCGCCCTCTTCCTGAGCGCAGTGAGCAGATCGCTAGTGAGGGCACTTGCAGGGTGACCCCAGAGCAGCGGGCCCAGGCAAGCGAGTTGGTCGGGCAGCCTGCCTTTTTCCCGCGATCAGTCCGAATGCCATTTTCTGCATACGGCGCGACCAGTGTCGACGCAGCGAGCGAATGATACGTGCGCTAGTTGGGTCACTCGAGCAGAAGTGGCTATCTGGATGGCGCCCCGAGAGGGGCGAGAGGATTGGGCCTCATATCAGGGGCGCGCTCAAGGTGTTTCTTTGACTTGGACAACCGAGGGCCGCGCCAGGCAGGGCGCATTTGTCCACTGGGCCCGCTGCTGAGTGGTGGGCTGTGTGAGCAGCGCTCTTGAAGATAATCGCCTTCCTGCAGCGCTCGGGCAAGGGTGGGCGCCAGAGGGGCCTGTGCATGTCTAAGCTTCGGAAGCAGAGTGAGCAGTTATATGGTCATAATTTGTTTGGGTAGATAGGCCAGGGTCTCCGCGAGCTTGGAGACGCCGCGATTGCGTGCGTGTATAATCCCAGTCTGCAGAGCGACTCAGGATTGCAGGAGCTGGTCGAGGCTGCTGATGGGCATGCCGCCAGTGCGCACGCTCGTGGGACATCAGTCTCCCGCCGTGCCCTTGAACTGGGCGAGAGAGCGGCGGAGAAAGAATCTCGGTATTCTGCGTCGGCATATGCAGCAATTGTCGCCAGCCCCTCTTGAGTCGATGTTGCCGGGTCGTGTAGTCTCAGATCCCGCGGCCATCGCGGCCGGGGAGCAGCGTGCCCGGCAACAAAAGTGGTTGGACCCTGTAGATACCCCAGAAGCTCTGCAAGATGCCATATCGAGAGCGCCCCGCAGGGTGGGCGAGGGCCCCTATAGGGCCCCATTGAGGCCTCTCACCTTTCCTCCCTCACGACTAAGGTCCCCGCCAAGAAAGCCGGGCTGATGTTCTCCGAGTGGCCGACATTCAGAGGCTTCCAGAACAGGGGGTAATCGAGTTGGCCAACCTTTTGGACGCCGTTGAATTCGAGGGCGCTTGGCCTGAGCAGGTCTCAGCAACGATTTGCGCCCTGCTGCCGAAGCCAAATCAGAGAGGCGATCGGGCGATGGGAATGATCCCGAACGTGATCAATCTCTGGGGCCGCGTGCGATCAGGGCTCGTTGATGCTTGGAGTTCAGGTCTTGATCAGTTCTGGGGTACAGCAGTGAAAGGTGGTTCAGCCGAACGAGCAGCGTTGATACGCAGTCTGTTGCAGGAAACGACAGTGTTGGCAGGAGTTCAGGTTGCAACGCTGCTTTCTGACATTGGAAACTTTTACGATCTCTGAGACCAGTTATGCGACGTGGTATCGACTCTGGCGTAGGGTTTCCCGCCTTGGTTGTCGCTCTGGAGGCGCAGGTCCATTTGGCGCCCAGGTTTTTGTGGAGCCAAGGAGGGGCCAGCCTGGCTATCAACCCAACGAGGTCCCTGATTGCATGGTCCTGCCCGTGTGCGCCGCTAGCCAAGCTTCTCTTGTTTCCGATTCTGGAGCGTGCCCATCGGCAGGTCAAGGTGCATCGGCCCTGGTCTTTCATCGATGATGCGGTCTCGAGGGCCGAAGGCACGGCAGTGAGCGCGGCAGTTGCCTTGGCGGCGTCGGCCCGTGCGCCGGCCGAAGGTTTGCGCGAGGCCAGACTTCTGATCCCGGAGAAATGTATTGTCTTGGCCACTTACCCTAATATTCAAGCCAAAGTATGATATGCGCCCAAGCGGGCGCGGATTCCGCATGGCTACCACCTCTGCTGTCGACGTTGGATGCGAGACCACCTAGGGCAAGTCTCGGAAGCTGCGGCGAGCGAAGCAGAGGCTAGCCAAAGCCAGCAAGAGGTTTAGCCAGATTAGGAAGCTCCGTCGCCCAGTTAAATTGTCTAAAGTCTCACAGTCTCGTTGGACAACTGGCCCCCCCCAGGTCGCGCTTGGCCCCCGAGTGCGCGGTGTTAGCCCCAGCCAGCTGTTTCTCAGGCGCCACGCTGGTCAGGCCATTGTTGGGCCAGGAACAGGTAGGTGTTTGGCGACGCTGTTAGATTTTCACTTGGGGATGAGAGACCCAGGGCACGATCTCCGCAGGCAGTTGGTCCTCGAGGTTCGTGTAGTTTGGGAGTCTTCGCCATGTCTTCGCGACCGCGTTCGAAAGGCGTGGAAGCATCTCGCCCCCCGTCTGTGGCCCATGAAGTTTCGATGGGGTTGGGTCCAAGGTCCCGTCGGCGCGGTGATTGCGTCGTTTTATGAGGCTGGGTGGATCCCGTCAGCCCCCGACCCCCGGCGCCGCCCGACGGGGGGGAGGGGGCGAGTTTTGGAGGGCCCCTTCTGTTAGCGATGAGGGTTTCGAGCTTGGAGATGCAGATTGTACGGGTTTGCTGTCTGGTTATGTCCCGGACTTGTCGCCCTTGCCCTGGACTCACGCGCCCATTCTTCACGGCGGTGAGGGGTTGGAGTTCGGGGGCGGGGGCGCGCTCTTAGCGGGGGGGGGGGGTCCGAGCGTTTCTGGCTGAAGACGCCTATGATTTAGTGGGCCCCCAGAACGCAGCAGTTTCAGGTGGGCAGTTCACGCGTGGGCAGCAAGCTGCAATGAGGTATGAGGTTGACGAGTTCTGCCGTCGGTGCGCGTTGAGCACGGGAAATCACTTCCATCGAGTATGGGAGTGCCCAGGCAATGTCGGTTTTGAAGAGTTCGAGAAGAGCGAGTGT